GTGTCCTTACTAATTAAAACATTATTAATTAATAATAATTCATGGCATTATTATTTTAATTTATTGTTTTAAAGATCCCTCATTAAATTCACTACAATTAGTACACAATATTAAAAGTGACTTAATGTGCTAATATCTCAATGAAGGTCACTACTTCCATCATTAACTTACTGTTCCTCATCTTCAACACTTGAATATACTTCATGTACACAACGTGTATTACTAGAAATTACTAATAGGAATGAAAAAGATAGAGAGAGAGAGGCATTAAATATTAACACAATTATATTAAACTTTTTATATTTTTATTTATTCTCACTTTTCTTTCAATTATTTCAAAAATTACTGACTCACTGAAGACATTTTAAGGACCAAGAGGAGGAGCTTGTAATATTGAGCCACTCCCTCCCTTTTGCAACTACTAGATCTAGTACAGCTGCAGCACAATTGGCTTGTAAGTTGTAATTTGTTCTTTATATTGACTGTATCTTTTCATTTCTTTATCTTACAACAGTTGATCATTAACAGTGATAGAGGTAAGTATATTATAGTTCATTTTAATTATACTTTACTAATAATTACAAGATGATTGATGTCTCTCAATGGAGAGCAAGTATTGGACTGTGGAACTACTGTCAAGCTGCCTCCAGTAGACCAGCTAATGGCCGCCACTCTCACTCAGTCAAAGCTGCAGTAGACAGCAAGTCAGGCAGTACTACATCAGGAGAGAAGACATTAAAACTGCCAGCAGCTCTGTCTCTTATTGCTTTAGTCCTCCTCTTTTACTCTCTCTCTTTATTAAGACACATCTTGATGATTCCTCCAACAGGTAAACAACAATTGCAACTTTGTACTTGTAGATCTATATTTACTGGTATTTTATTATTAGGTAACTGCTACCAAGTACAATGTACTACTGGTGTTACTGTTACTGATACAAATTACCTCCAGTCAGTAGTCTTACCTGGAGGCAGCAGTTCCAACCTGATTTACAATGATCTCTATTTGATTGTTTGTCTACGTATGCTCCTCCTCTTATCAGGAGATGTTGAACTCAATCCTGGTCCTATAATAAGTATAGATAAATACATTGTGATAATAATGACAAATTAATACATTTTAGGAAGAATGCTCAGAATATGGAACTGGGTTTGCTTTAGAATTATCAAGTTTTTACAAAGTGTCTGGATGAAAATAAATAATATGTTTCATCCAAAACAGCCTAGCAATGTTCAACTTGATAAATTTTGTCACAAAACTAAACCTGAAGATTTTGAGGCCTTACCACTCCCTGATTCAAGTAATGGATCCAGTCCTACTGAAATTAATGAAGGTAACATGATTTAAGTTCATAAAAATACACACTCATTAACTGATAAATTTACTGTAGGCAACCCAATGGACATATTACAAAGTTGTACTGACAAATTAGTTTCTGCAATTAGCATCAATATTTACAATGTAACTGAATCACTGTATGCTAAAGGTTTGATATTACAACAAACTAAAGCGGAGATGCATGTATTAGGAGTAACTGATAATGAGAAAGCTAGTAAACTTATGTATGTCATTGAAACACAGTTGCAAGGCTCTCTTAATCCAAAGCAATATTTAATCGACATGTGTCGTGTATTAGCACACCAACAGCATCGTGCACTAACTGATATTGTTTCTTCTATGTTAAAGGAGCTAGGTCAGTGTGTGTACATTATGTGTATAGTTAGGATTATTCTAAATACTTTTTAGGCTATTCAATGTCAGATGTTGTAGCATTCGTTAATTCACTACCTGATGATGTTCAAGGATATGCTGACAATATGAGACAGCACTACAAACACCAACCTATTGTTGCTACAGACTGGCCACCAAGAATTGGAAAAGATTTCTTTGGAAGACTAGCATTAGTAGAAAAACATGAATGCAAAAAACAAACAGAATCAGCTTGGCATATGCTAAGAGGACAAGTTGATATAACAGTTAAACTAACTGAAAACAAAGAGATAAGTGTTGAAGATGTCCTCCAACCCACAGATAGTTCTCTGTCTCTCAGAGTAGTAATAGACGGTCCTCCTGGTATTGGCAAGACCACACTCTGTCGTAAACTGTTAAGTATGTGGTCTAATGGACCACTTCCACACCAACAGTATGACTTGGTACTTTACTGTCCTTTAAGGAATAGCAAAATAGCTACAGCTACGACACTAACTGACCTGTTTGTGCGTCAACGTTATGAAGTTCCCATGGTAGCTGAATGGTTTGAGAAGAGGAATGGAGAAGGATTACTGATAATTTTTGATGGTTGGGATGAACTAAGTGAACAACTCAGACAGTCTTCATTAGCTGCTAGTATTATTTGTAAAGAGAAGTTAGACCAATGTTCAGTAATTGTTACATCTCGTAGCTATGCCTCTTCTTCACTTTTAGAAATCATGTCTAATCTCAGTAGACATGTTCAGGTCATTGGGTTTTCTGAGGAAGAAATACCAACAGTAATTATACAAATACTTCAAAAAGATTCAAAACTAGGACAAAAACTTATTGATGAAAACACTGAACAAGATGAATTGATAAAACTTATATCTAATAGAAAATACAAATCACATTTCACAACTACTCAAAGCAATAAGGACTCACAACTAGCAGTGAAACTCATTAATGATCTTAAAGTACGAAAATGATTCCA